AACAGGCCTGACAAGCCTTCATTACAACAACCAAACAAATCATAGGAGATTCACAATAAGTTGTTTCACGGACATCAACATAACATAGCCAGCCAGACCGAGGCGACTCGTGAGAGGAATGCCGAGACATGCGTTTTCATTCAGCTTAACACAGCTGTCGCCTCGCTAGTCAACCGGCTATGCATCATAGACGAGCCAAGACACACACACACTGCAACTCGCCCACAGCTCTCGTTCAATGCTACCGAGACGGCAGCGAGTTGATCCGGGGGTACTGCCACGACTCGCCGACAGCGCTCGCTCGGTGATACCTGGACGGCGACCCGGGAGGAAACTGCCGAGAGATGCTTTTCATTAACTTTCAGACATCTGTAGCCTCGCTAGTGAGCCTGCCTTGCATATGTTGTCAGCCAGCCAGTCGGCTGTATAAGCCGAGCTGAGTCACACACTGTGACTCGCCCACAGCACTTGCTCGGTGATACCGAGACGACGACCCTGGAAGGAAACTGCCGAGAGATGTCTTTCATTCACTTTCAGACATCTGTAGCCTTGCTAGTCAGCCGGTAGTGCATCATCATCACAGCCGAGCCGAGAGATACACATACTTACACTCGTCCACGGGGCTCGTATAAATCAACATTCCGAGACGGTAGTGAGGTTATGACTTCCGAGACCTGCGTTTCATTCAGCTAAAAACACCTTATGCCTCGATAATATAGAACAAGTACGACAATGCGTTGGTCTTTCGACAGACCGACCCCATGCCCACTAAAAAGTGATTATTTCCTACACCGATTTTCGTGAAATGGGGCATGCATCTCGGCGGATGGTTACGCTATAGCAAAACGGCATTGGAAACGATGACTTCATTAGATTAATTAAGACTTAATTGCGACACAAGTTTTCCCTACTGACCTCATGTTCACTTAAATGTCAAATATTTCAGAAACTATTTGACGGATTTTCATCAAATTGTGCATGCAACTCAGTAGCAGTATACACAATGGTGGTATGGGATTAGGGACTCCTCAAGGACTCCATTTAAAAAACTGAGCCGGGGGGAGGAGGTCCTGTTCCACCATTGTATACTACTAGTTTTCATAGAGTGGGTTGAAAACACAAGTGTATGCTTGATTGGTCTTATTTGAATGCAGCGTTGTTCAGGTAATTATGTATTGTAGTTATATCATAAATTTAATTATGTTGTTGTTGTAGATATATCATAAATTTGCAGTAATTTGTATGGCTTGTACATGGTTTCTTTTAGAATACAATTGCTAAAAGTATGAACAGACATACAGGTGGTTGTATCCTTTCAATCAATAATAAATGTGACATTTTAAAGCAACACATGTGACTTGCGAGTGTTTGAGTGAGTTAATAAGTGTGTATGAACACCGAATTATTTATTTCATGTAGACAAGGAGATTCAGTTTTATCCAACAAAAAATATGTACAGATATGAAATTCTAACAGCAACATTGTCACATTATGGCAAGGAGTGTGATTGTAACGTAATTATGTTTGCGCCAATCTAACAAAGACTTATGTGCCGCCCACTGGACACAGCTGATAATGCTGGATTGCCTCAGGGTTGGAGGACAAACATCTCTTGTTACTACGACAATGCCAGCACGACTGATAAACTCTTGATTACGCTAGATATCTCTCAGGGTTGGAGGACAAACATCTTGTTATGTTGCTATGACAATGCCAACACGACTGATCAACTCTTGATAACGCTAGATATCTCTCAGGGCTGGAGGACAAACATCTTGTTATTTCGCTATGACAATGCCAATACGACTCATCAACTCTTGATAACGCTAGATGTATCTCAGGGTTGGAGGACAAACATCTTGCAATGTTGCTATGACAATGCCAATACGACTGATCAACTCTTGATAACACTGGATATCTCTCAGGGTTGGAGGACAAACATCTTGTTATGTTGCTACGACAATGCCAACACGACTGATCAACTCTTGATAACGCTGGATATCTCTCAGGGTTGGAGGACAAACATCTTGCCATGTTGCTATGACAATGTCAACACGACTGATAAACTCTTGATAACGCTAGATATCTCTCAGGGTTGGAGGACAAACATCTTGTTATGTTGCTACGACAATGCCAACACGACTGATCAACTCTTGATAACGCTGGATATCTCTCAGGGTTGGAGGACAAACATCTTGCTATGTTGCTATGACAATGTCAACACGACTGATAAACTCTTGATTACGCTAGATATCTCTCAGGGTTGGAGGACAAACATCTTGTTATTTCGCTATGACAATGCCAACACGACTGATCAACTCTTGATAACGCTAGATATCTCTCAGGGCTGGAGGACAAACATCTTGTTATTTCGCTATGACAATGCCAATACGACTCATCAACTCTTGATAACGCTAGATGTATCTCAGGGTTGGAGGACAAACATCTTGCAATGTTGCTATGACAATGCCAATACGACTGATCAACTCTTGATAACACTGGATATCTCTCAGGGTTGGAGGACAAACATCTTGTTATGTTGCTACGACAATGCCAACACGACTGATCAACTCTTGATAACGCTGGATATCTCTCAGGGTTGGAGGACAAACATCTTGCCATGTTGCTATGACAATGTCAACACGACTGATAAACTCTTGATAACGCTAGATATCTCTCAGGGTTGGAGGACAAACATCTTGTTATGTTGCTACGACAATGCCAACACGACTGATCAACTCTTGATAACGCTGGATATCTCTCAGGGTTGGAGGACAAACATCTTGCTATGTTGCTATGACAATGTCAACACGACTGATAAACTCTTGATAACGCTAGATATCTCTCAGGGTTGGAGGACAAACATCTTGTTATTTCGCTATGACAATGCCAACACGACTGATCGACTTTTGATAACGTTGGATATCTCTCAGGGTTGGAAGACAAACATCTTGCTATGTTGCTATGACAATGCCAACACGACTGATAAACTCTTGATAACGCTAGATATCTCTCAGGGTTGGAGGACAAACATCTTGTTATGTTGCTATGACAATGCCAACACGACTGATCGACTCTTGATAACGCTAGATATCTCTCAGGGTTGGAAGACAAACATCTTGCTATGTTGCTACGACAATGTCAACACGACTGATAAACTCTTGATAACGGTAGATATCTCTCAGGGTTGGAGGACAAAAATCTTGTTATGTTGATACGACAATGCCAACACGACTGATGAATACTTGAACCGAATTGTTGTGATGATCATGTGGTTTTAATGTTATATATCTGTCTCGGACCAACCAATAGTTCCCAAAGACATTTTTCGCTAGTTGGGAACAAAGACCGTGTTTACGGTTAAGACGATACCAAGACTGCGTAGCAGTCGGTCATGTGGTTGTGGCCGGTTGCCTGATGATAGGTTATATAAATCCAAGGTGTTCAGTGGACAGACCATTGCCTCGGCGATTCCACGAGCGTTATATGCTGACTGGCTCCTTGAACTAAAGCCTCGGTAACAATGAATTGAGCCCAGGCATCTACACGTTAGTAAATGTCATGATGATCATCAGACGAACTTGCATCTAGTTGTCGTCTTTTTTAACCGTGAAGCCCATTTCTGGTGTCCCCCGCCGTGATGCTGGAATATTGCTTAAAGCGGCGTAAAACCAAACTCAGTCAGTCAGTCTTTTTTAACCAGAGTGTTTTTGTGACATGATGAAAAAATGTGGCTCGACAACCCTGCTCCCCACCCAACAAAAACCGTCAACAAGGATCTCCAGCATGCAGACACCAGGGATACAGGGATGTTATACCCCAGTGAATATGACACTAATAGCAATGTTTGTATACCAAAGTAAATGCCTGGGAGGTTCTGGCCATGACAAGAAATTGGACACATACTGCATTAGGAGGTCAACATCACCTGATTGACCCATTGGCTACCGCCTTCTGGCATAGGACTCTAGGCAAGTAAATATAATGATCATTAGTAAATTGGAAATTGAACAGGCCAACACCCAAACATAAGTAAAATGTGCAAAAAATATTCACCATGCACAGGGCTTGGCGTGACGAGTGGATTGATAGAATCGGGCCAATTCTACCACCCGTCGAGGTGTTCGGCAAGGGATACGGAGAAAACGGAAAGAGCTTTTAGCGTTACCCGGCACCACACTACGAGAACTTTGCTCTTCAAGGGTGCCCCGCAGTAATAGCATTTTCTCTAGTTCGTGTAATGTAGAGACTGAAAAGTTTCTGTAAGTGACATTCATACACATCGTTTTGTTGTGAATATGTGTTCATGTATCCTGCCTTTTCTTGACTCGTAACATTCATCTATTCACGTAGTGAGTGCACCCGTGTCCCCTGAATACAAATTTCCGCCATAGTTTGTCCTGTTCAGTATCGCGGCTTAAAGTTAATTAGTTCACATTGTTTTCATTCACCGTTGTTTGTCGCACAGCTTTGCTTCCTGTTTGGAAGAATGAACCAAATGTCCGTGAAGTGTACACCATAGACGGCACCAAGAGTGTCGGCAAACCACACAGTCAATTTAAAAAAAAATCACTTATCACCATCAGTTGGTGCTTTCTAAGAGTACTATGCGTACTGAAGGAATACTTCCTGAACTAAAGTGTCAATAAGCTATGTGAGTGTGTTTACACGTGCAAATAAAACATACGTTCTCTGTGCTTTTAGTTCATATCATATATCATGTAAGATTACGGATATTGATTACAAACTTTGTATCATTTCCCAGGTGTGGGGTGTGAGCTGAGTGGGTACGACATGACTTACAGAGTTGCTTCCCTTGACGCGTATATTTTACTCTAAGTAGAAGTCTTCCCTTATCTAAGAAGTAAACTTCTCGCTATGTTCGGACTTTCTGTCCCAGAAGAGGGAGAGTTGCATGTGGCAGTGTAATGGATTTTAGAACAACTGTGTGATGTTGGTTCTGTTGTGGTTCTGTAAATGAAAGGTTAACACGAGACAAACACGATTGCAGATTTTATTTGTCAGTCTGTGTTGTGGAGTTGTACATAAGTATTCACGGATCAGAATATTCTGAAAAATAAAGAAATAGACATGCAAAGGACAGAGTTAACGTTACGTTGTAGATATTGAAATTATGGTATCATGAACTGGAAGTAAACACTTGCTTTGTTGTGAAATATTATGAGACAATGGGAACACCTACCAGTAGTCGTACGCCATCAGGATGTCAATGAATTTGTCCAAATTCATCATTCCGTCGCCTGGATGTACAGAAAATGTGAATCGTTAAATTGCTGGCACCGACTGAGATAATAAGATCAGTTAAGATTGACAGTACTGACCATAAAACGAAACTGTGTATTATTAGTTGTTAGCGGCTAATGTACTGTTAGTGAGTGAGTAAGTTAGTGAGTATAGTTTTACGGCGCACTAAGCAATATCCCAGCTATATGGCAGCGGTCTGTAAATAATCGAGTCTGGACAAGACAATCCAGTGAGCAGCAACATGAGCATCGATCTACGCAACTGGGAACCAATGACATGTGTCAACAAAGTCAGCGAGGCTGACCACCCGATCCCGTTAGTCGCCTCTTACGTCAAGCATGTGTTACTGAAGATCAATTCTACGTTGAGCACATGCATGTTTGTTCAGTTCAATTCACCAATCACTGTGCTTACATTTGTAGTTGTTTACACAAGTCGTTCCAAAATATATTTTGATTTCCTATGTACACAGTATCCTTTTAATATCTCATATCCTTAGATCAAAACATAAATACTTTATTATGCATGACTTACGTTTGGAGCGTGCGTTCTGCATCAGAAGGTCAAGGTCGGGGTCAGTCTCCTCAACGTTCAAGACCCCGGCTGCTTCACGTTTGCTCACCAAGCCATCAGCATCAGCATCAACGTTTCTGCCACTCTTACTGCAGCAGTTGTGGTTCGACTGACGTTCTGATGTAAGCAGACATTCATGTTCTTGTAATTCACGAAGTAATCCGACCTCTGTGTGGCTTGATACCGTCATTACAGTGTATTTTGATACTGTTATCCTACCACTACGTACTTTCAATGTGTACAGCCATTTATAAGCAGTAGTCTGATAACAAGTTATCATTCGTAACAAACTGAGAATATCCACGGATAACATTGTATTATTGTATTATTGTATCATTTGAAAGATGAACAGAATAGGTTTACTGAAGGATTTCTATATTAACTAAGTATGAAATATAACCTTTAAGGTAGTTATAACTTTGCAAGTATTTTCAGACGCTGAAATGAACAAGGTCTCTATCTGTCGCGTTTTACATTAAGCCAAGATAAATTTAGTACATAGGGCATTAGTTGCGACTTTAGACAAGATGGCCACAAAAACTGCCACTTGTGGAATTGTTTCTTTAAGCATATGCATCAGAATTTCTCAAACTCAAAAGAAGGTAATTGACCAAGACATTTTACTTTAGCTCTAAGCGTATCGATGATGCAATATTGTTCAATAGCAATCAAATAGCCAATTCCCTTCCACTGATTTACCCTCCTGAACTTGAAATATAGAAACCATAGGTGAGATTGTCTCGTATGTTTCACATTTAGATCAATGCACAGATCTTCAGAGGGACAACAGATTCTCACTTTTCTGTAACAAAATAGGGATGAAGTCATCTTTCTAATAATCAACCATCATGTCGACCAATATTTCAACCGTCCCCGTTTTTGGAGTTAGCATTTCATGGGGTGGGGGTGAGTGCGCTATATTTCCGCATTTCGGCTTTTGCTATATAGGCATATCCAGTGACGCTGAAAACAACTTATGCCTTCCAAATTCTGTCTGTGAATACACAATGCCATTTGTGTAGCAACATATGTTATAGTGGAAGCCGCGGTATATGGGTAGATGAGACGGCTGAATTTGTGTGCTGCATTAGATGCCTGAGGGTGTGTGTTCGAATCCCGGATGGGACTCTACCAGAAAAAGTACTTAAGTCTGTGAGAATGTGCAATCACTAAAATAAGATGTGTATAACATGTTTGTGTATATTAGAGGCGCTTGCGATTGTTGCTCATGTTACATTTAATCTGAAGTCACCAGAAGACCAGCATAGTGTGCGATGATCATATCCTGCCTTGACTTGGTTCGAAGATGCATTACTGTAGCCGTGAGGTTAATATTATCGTATTTGCTAATTCCACTGCTGTCTTTCATGTTACTACTGAATTTCTGCTGTAATACATTTGATTGATTGTGTACTTAGTTGAACTCAGAATACAATTGCTAATTAGAACGCATATTTTTAGTTTGTTGACTTAGGAACCAACACCCAGCTTTGTAAATGGAATACTGCAACACAATAAAGAACACTGCTCAAGTAACGTTGCAAGAATCTACAACGAAAAGTCGCGCTGTGCAATAATCAAGAATGCTTCATTATCGACTCCCAAACTTCCAAAATGACAATCCAACAATTCACGTGTAACAATGTTGCTTTTTTTTCTAGCGTAATGTTTGCAAAAGGTAATAATATACTTAGATACCTTTGTCAAAAATAGAAACCATGAAGACGCTCTTCCACATTCCCCAATAACCCTGCTATTATAAGTTGATCTACTGATAAATGGTTTAATAGATATAATCGTATATCATTTTTTTTTATTGCATGAAAACAATCGTGAAGAAACTCAATGCTCACTACTACGCAGGGTGATCAACTGAAGATATACCACGTGGCTGTTCATGCAATATTACTAAATTGCTGGCTCTCACTCAACAGGCATATTTCATTAACATTTTGATTATACTGTTGACAAGCCTTCGATGAAAAGTAGAAACATCAACTTACTCGCCAGTTTCCGTTCTTTTACACTCAGTCTTTCGCTTGCAAAGTTGGAGAGGAGACGCTTGCCGTTACAATGACAGACGTGAGTGTGATGGTGATGGTGGTCATGACGAGGACGACGTCTCCACCACCCACTAACAGTTGGAAGAGCCAGCACGCCAATCAGTAGGATCAACAGCAGCTTCATGACGCTGGAAATACATTATGAAGGTAGACAATGTATTTGTGGGACAGACAATGTATTTGTGGGACATTGTAGGTCATGGAATCAGAGATAACTTCTCGTATGTTGACTCCCCCTCAATAAAAAAAAATAACCAGAAATATCCTCAACCGCTCAGTCAGGAATCAATACAAATTATATTTTATCGCGTTAATTATTCTCTGTGAGAACTATACTAGGCAGCAAAAGAAACGTCAGTTTGGAATTTCCCTTCGCAGAAACGGATAACTGTAAACTCATTTCATGTTTTGATAGGGTATTTGTGACAACATCTCGAACTTTACCTGAGCAAAGATGTAACAAAGTAAGGAACGACAAAGAGGTAGAGATGGATTAATTCTTGTTTATTTCGTCACATCAGCAGCAACTTGGCAGTCGGGCGGCTGGGACAGTCCTGACCTGTTTGCTGAGATCAGCTGGTGTTGTTGCTGTCTCTGCTGCTGTCTTGTTCCCTCTGCTGCTGCCGTCCAGATCTCTCTCTGATTTCTGTCTGGCCGTCCTCCCTTATTTACCCCCTTGGTCAAAATTAATGGTTCAGCCATCTGTATCCCACTGGCTGTGCAACCAGCTGGAGAGATGTCAGAAACGTCAGTGTTAATTCCCCATGGATTATTTTTATCACCGGTCACAGGTAGTGTCCAATCATTAAAGTGTCATTGCCATTGTGGTGGGCTGCTTCACAGCAGTTCCTTGCTGCATGTTGACACATTCAGGAGACGGACCACGGATTTATCGCAGGTCACACATAGTGTCCAAACATTAATGTGCCATCGTCGTCATGGTGGTTTACTTCACAGCAGTCTATTGCATATTGATTTGTTGCCACACTCAGGGGTTGACCATAGATTGACCTGGGGCTAACCGAGGAAGGCGGCCATCAACTATGTTACAAAGATATTCCTTACCAAACTCAGAATGGAACCCAGGAAAAGGTCCTAAAAACGCAACCTGATCTCAGAGATGTTTTTCATGCAAGTCATGCTGCACGTGCTGTTCACAAGGACCAGCCCTATAAAATGCATCCCGAAACTTGGTTGAAACAATCACATTACAACGTCAGCAGGATGCCGGGACTCACGGCAGCTCAGAGGAACCAGGCACTAGGAAGACTTGAAGCTGGCCACACTGCACAAGCCGTTGCCAATCACTTCAAGGACAACGTTCTGACCATCTACAGGCTGCAGCAATCTTTCCGGGACACCAACACCACAAATGATCGCCCCCGTCCTTTTCAGACCAAGGGTGAGCACAAGACGACAAGACCGCCATGTTTTGTGACATGTACAGAATCCATTCATGCATGCATCCGAAACAGCATCCTGGACAGTGGGAACACACGGAAGATCAATCAGTACTGATACAGTACGCCAAGGTCTTATCAGCGGGAACATCCATTGCCATTGACCTTACCGTGGAAACATCCTCACCCCTCGTCATCGGCGTGAACGTCTACAGTTTGCCCTACAACAGCAAAGCTGGCAATACCGGCAATGGAGAACTGTCCTGTTCACATATGAGAGTCGATACTGCGTATCAACAATGTGTTATGGAAGGAGACTCATGCGGAGGTGCAAGCATCATGGCATGGGGATGAATAGGCCTGAACCAGAGAGTGGATCCTGTGGTGTTCCAGAACCTTGGTCTAGGGAGAAGAGGCGGCATCACAGCGGTGCGCTACATCGACCAAGCTCTCAGAGCCACTTCATACCACATTTTGCACGTCACCGGAACAACATTTACCAGCATGATAACGCCCGGGCTCATACTGCCAGAGCTACACGGGACTTCCTACAGCAGAACGGTGTCAACATTATGCAGTGGCCAGCCCTTAGTCCTGATTTAAACCCAAATGAACATCTTTGGGATGAATTTTAGAGGAGACTGAATAATGTCATACCAATGCCGAACACAGCCGATTTATTGCGCCAGGCCTTTCTCAGAGTGTGGTACCAGGTGCCAATGACCTTCATCAATCGATTGGTGCACTCCATGCATAGACGCTGTGCTACAGTTATTGCCGCTCGTGGTGGTCACACTAGATACTGAAGTCAAGAGTCTGAATGGACTGCAAACGTTCACGTAATGTCTTGGAATTGTGCTGAGTTATACATTGATGTGTCAGGATATTGTACACAAAAATATTTTTGATCCGCTTATTATGTCTATTTCTGTAATGATTTGATTACAGTGCCTATCTAATTTTGAATTCGTGCTGACGGGTCTTTTTGCTGCTGAGTATATATATATGTGTCTTTTCGTCCGTAAACAAAACTAGACACAATTTAGACGAGGTACATGTGAAACAGGCAAGAAACACACTCGATTTATCTCTCTTACATCACATAACGTTTCATTGAAAGTGACCAAAGGATATTTGGCTTAGTAAAACAAGCTCTGGATAACAAACTACGTTTCATATGTCCTTTTGGTGAATATACGAACATACTTCCCAAAAGCAAGATCAAATTTCATTAATAGCCACAGACAAATTAGAAAATTGTCCAAGCGTTATAGTGCCCCGAAGTTTCAAACATCCCATTTGTTTTAAATTTCGTTGCTCGATATTAGGAGGCAGTGCTCTAAATGTTTCAGTTTGTTTTCAGTTAGTTTTCTGAATCTTTTCGTTGTAGTTGTGGTGGTTCATGGTCTACTTCAAAGGCTGTGACAAGCTCTGGTGAACCGGGTAAGACTCACGTGCTCATTGCCTATGTGTTTTTTAGATTTAAGGAAACAAACACAACAATCAATCAATCATTATGCATATGGAAGTATGTTCGCAAAAAGGTGAACGTGTCCTCTTCCATCGATGGCACCTGTCTTAATTACATGCTAAGGTTAGTCAATTGTTTATTCGAAAACATCAAGGACGTTTTTATCAAGTCAACATAGAGAATTGGATCCGACATAATTTTTGTCGAATTTTGACACGTTTATCAGAAACGTTTTGGGAGCTTTTCTGATATCCACTATCAGCTACTGAAACTATTACTCAACCCATGTCATGAAACACTTCTGAACATTTCTATCATATTTGAACAACTAGGCACTTTCCTACTCCGTTGCTACATGCCATTGTTGTACCAATACCTAAGCCCGGCCGAGACAATACAGATCCATCTAACTATAATCCGTTTTCATGAACTAGCCGCTTTTGCAAAATCATGGAACCTATGCCCAATAACAGATAAGTGTAGTTTCAAGAAACCAATCATCTTATAACAAACATTTCATGTGGTTTTCGCTAAAACCATAGAAGTTCTATTGACTATTTGGTTCATTTGGAATCATCCGATACAAATTTTGAATAGCCAGCATGTTGTATCAATCAATTTCGACATAGGACGCTTATGATCCAGGATGCAAACACGGTATTTGAAGGGAACTTTGGTGTGTGAGGCCGCTTGCCCCATTCTATGTCACAGTCTGTAGCAGAGAGACAGTTTCAGGCATGTCTGACTATTATAATCGGGGTCAGGGGTTCCACACTGCATTATTTTGTCTGTAACTTTGTTCAACATCAATCGTCTCTCATTGCTTGTGGATGATTTTAACGTCTCATGTCGTGGTAAAAATATCCATACCATCGTGAGACAATTGTAGATGTGTGTTAATAAAATTAATAAATGGTCATTCGAGAATGGCTTAAATACCAAATGTATACATTTGTGTTGAAAAGTTAAATCTTGAAGGCCTTAGATGTATTAAAACTCGTCAACAATTCAAAGTGGGGAGGGGATCAAACAACCCTCATTCACTTTTACAGATCACTCATCCGGTGAAAATTCGATTACGGTTCATGGAACCTATGCCCAATAACAGATTAGTGTAGTTTCAAGAAACCAATCATCTTATAACAAACATTTAATGTGGTTTTCGCTAAAACCATAGAAGTTCTATTGGCTGTTTGATTCATTTGGAATCATCCGATAAAAATCCCATTTTGAATAGCCAGCATGTTGTATAAATCAATTTCGACCTAAGAATCTTATGATCCAGGTTCCATTGCATAAGGTGAAGCATGTACAGGCAACCCCAAAATACTTGATTCTAGCCACCATCAAGGTCTGAGACTTTGTCCCGGATCTCTCCGAACTTCTCCTATTGACAGTCTTTACGTTGAAGCAGACGAGCCTTCTATTTGCCAAAGCCATATCAAACAATCATTGCAGTGTGTTACAAAACTGCATTGTAATGAGTCCATTCCTGTTTAATCCCCTATAAGATGAGTTGTATATTTTTCCAAAAAACTCCTCACTTATTCCATGTCTCAGAATATGAATAAAATCTTTTATTTCTGCTGCTAACAATGAGCTGGAAAACATAACACCTTTCCACCTGCTTTTTTCTCCTTCTTGGCAACTAGTAAGGCCACAAGTCGATATTTAAAACAAAATCAGAAACAAATGAATTACAGTGCATACAGGAATTTAATCAAATACGAAGTAGATATAATACATACAAAAATGGATGCAGTTATGGTGGCGCAGTGGCTTGTGCCACTGAAATTGGATCAAAGACATACTCTTTTCGATTACTGAGTAACAGCTCCATTTTCAGCAGAAGCAACCGCCATATTCATAATTCTTAGATATATAAAAACATAACCTTAAATAAACAATATATAATCTTTTCGGACTCTCTTTCGTCCCTTCAGGCTATAACTAAATTATCTTGTAAACATCCACATTTGCTTGAATAACTGAATTATGAAATGATCTTGCTTCTGGCCAATACGACATATATGCACAATCATTATCATACAGGCATAGGAAAAGTGAACTCACCAAGTATCGAGGTTTGCTTCCACTGCAGTGAGGAGACAGACAGTGGTATTTATATGTTTAAAATGCAACATTCACCCGGTTGATATCATACACTCTTAGGTGTTAAATCCGTTTGGATTGACATCTCACTTCAATCTGATATATTTCAGTGACACAGCGAAACATGTTTACCATCTGTCGTGAAATCCGAACTCAAACATCTGGAATGGATGA